ATACATTCCTTTCCCTTTAACATTCCAGGTAAAGACCAGTAAGTACAAACCACACTCCTTCATGAACTGAATTTGCCACCAGATCTGAAGTGATGTGCATCCTGAAGCCTCTGGGAACACAGTTTTCCAGTGCACAGGACCCATGTCCTTCACAAAGTCCCCGGCACTGCTGGCCGGCTGCCTGATGTCCATGCTGCCCAGGCCTCTACTCCCAAAGACGCCTGCCTCTCTCCCCCTGCTCTCAGGGCAAGCTGGCTTCTTCCCAGGCCCCACAGTGGAGATTGACAAGCTCTCAAGAAGATGTGTCCGGGGACCAATGTTTCGTCTGATGGGTTACAGACCCAAATCCACCTGAGGAGGTGACCTGACTCAGTCTGTTGGAGATGTCCCTGGCTGCTGGCATTCCTAAGAGAGCTGCTGGTCTGAGAGGCACCTGCCAGCAGCACGGAGTCTCCTCAGCCCAGCGAGGTGGAGCTGGGGAAGCCTCGCAATGTAAAACAGCATCACTGCTTCCCGTGAAGGCCGCTGAGGCAAGAGGAGACTTGTTACCTGCAGCCAAAAGCTTCCGATGTGATGGGTGATTTAGAGCTTGGGGGTCTGGGTCTTTGTGAAAGAGGTTTTCATTGCATGGACTGTTGCTGGCATAAAGAGAATCCTAGAGGAAGGAGGTGGGGATGGGTAAGAACCTTGCACGCTGCAGAACAGTGTGCACAAGCTGTGAGTGTTTCCCACGAAGTCTCCTGGACTGTGTGTGACATAGAAGGACGTGTGGCAATCAATCACAAGGGTGGCTTTTGCACCTGAAGTGGGAGGAGCTGACGTGGAAGCTGGAACCCTGGGGAAGGCTTTCTTCTGAGCCGCACTGAATTTCACCTAACATGTGTAATGCATTTAGGATTCAGGCTTTTCTTTTTATTGTACTCAGGGCCTTGTGCATGTCAGGTGAGTGCTCTACCCTTTAGCCATGCCCTCAACCTTTTGGCCTTTTTTTAAAGTTTGTTTTCAAATAGAGTCTCATGGTTGTCCCCAGCTGGCCTCCAACCATGATCCTCCAGAGAGCTGCTGGGATTAAGGGTTTATTCCACCACTCCCAGGTTTTGAGTGAGGGCCTCGCTAACTTTGCAGGGGCTGGCTTCAAACTGTGATGCTCCCGAGCTCTGCCTCCTGAGAAGCTAGGATTACAGGTGTGAGCCACCACGCCTGGCCATATAGACAAAACCTAAAATGATGTTACCTAAGATCATGGTGCCGAGGTGGGGCTGTCAAGTGAGGACACACTACACCGCCAGCTCAGAACTTTCCTCCAGATGCATCGGACCCACGGGGAGTGCAGAAGGATCTGCTGGGAATCCAGTGAGTGTGATGCAGAGCTAGTGGGAAGTCATTGCAGGGAAGTGACGGATCTGAGCACACATCAGGAAAGTGACCTGCCACACCATGAAGAGGAGTCGGCATTGTCGACGTACCTCTGTGCAAATCTTCTAGAGATGAAAATCGTGAACCCTGAGCTGGAGTGAAATCAAAGTCAGTCATGAGAGAAAAGAAAAAACTAGTGAAGGAAGAAAGAGAGATGGGACTTGGATAAAAGGAAGGCGGCTTGGCTAGTCCAACAAGACAAACACTATTTGTTTTTGTAACAGGCTCTTAGAAACTGCTTCTGCTGTGGCCAGGGCCTGCAAATGTCCAACAGCAGGATGGAAGCTTGGCATCTCTGCCTCCATTTTGAATCAGTTCTGCTCTGAGCTGTTCCCTCCTGCAGCCATATTGGAGTCCAGAAAGGACAGGACTGATGGATAGGCACCAATGACTTTCTTATCACGACCAGGTCCTCCTGCCTGACCAATTATGAGATAAGAAGCTACTTGACCACACCTCTGACCACCAAACCATACCAGGGACCACCAGATCACACCTCTGACCACTGACCACACTGCTGACCACCAGGCTACACCACTGATCACCTTTGACCACCAGACAACACCTCTGAACACCTGTGTCCACTGACCATACCTCTGACCACTGACCACGCCTCGAACACCTGTGACCACTGACCACACCTGGGCGGGGCTGTTAAGTAATTATGTACACCTCTCACTCCAGGTCCCAGTTCTTCCTCTTTTTAGCTTAAGCTCGGGTCTGCACCTGCAGATGTGCTGCAGAGCTTGCTCTGCCTCTTCTCAAGCCACGCTCAGACCTTGGGCTGAATCCCGCTCTCTGCCCTTCTCCACCATGCATCTCTTACTTGGTGTGTTGGGGTGAGTGGCTGGACCCCCGTGTGGACCCTGCAGTTGAGCCTCTGGCCCACGGCTCCCAGGTTCACTGTTTGAAACATGCCAGGCGCTGCTGCAGGAACTTTCACGCCCATTCAATCCTTAGCACAAGGGACGCAATGTATCTTACTGGAAAGAACATGATTTCATCACAGAGGTTCTCAGAGTAGACTATGCCACTGTGGCTTAATCTCTGGGTGACCATGGGACGGTCACATAGTCTTTCTGAGCCTGAGTTTTCTCATCCATGGAATGAGAGGGAAACTGAGGATCTCATAAGTGAAAAGCCTGTGTGGAGCACATGCTAGCGTGCAGTGCTCACGACAGCTCTAAGGTGTGCACACAGTAGGTTCTGCAATGTGGTTTGGAGAACTAGCTTATCGGTGCGCAGGGGAAAGTGGGAAGGCCAGGACTTGGGTGCCCTGGAGATTCCAAGGGCATCTGCCTTCCTGGAGGGACGCAAGGGGGCTCAGGGAGGGTCCATTGCTCCCTGGGTGGGACCTGGGAAATCCCTTTAGGGACATGTCTTAGATGGGAGACCTGTCACACACTTTGTATCAACATTTAGTGTAAAACCACCATGTGCAGTGAGAGAGCAGTGTGAGTGAATGCAGTGTGTGTGAGAGTGCAGTGTGCAGTGAGAGAGCCATGTTCAGTAAGTGCAGTGTGCAGCGAGTGAGGTGCATGAGAGAGTGAAGTGTGCAGTGAGAGAGCAGTGTGCAGTGAGTGCAGTGTGCAGTGAGAAAGCCACGTTCAGTAAGTGCAGTGTATAGTGAGTGCAGTGTGCATGAGAGAGTGAAGTGTGCAGTGAGAGACCAGTGTGCAGTGAGAGAGCAGTATGCAGTGAGTGCAGTGTGCAGTGAGAGACCAGTGTGCAGTGAGAGAGCAGTATGCAGTGAGTGCAGTGTGCAGTGAGAGACCAGTGTGCAGTGAGAGAGCAGTATGCAGTGAGTGCAGTGTGCAGTGAGAAAGCCATGTTCAGTAAGTGCAGTGTACAGTGAGTGCAGTGTGCATGAGAGAGTGATGTGTGCAGTGAGAGAGCAATGTGCAGTGAGGGCAGTGTGCAGTGAGAGTGCAGTGTGCACGACAGGGTGAAGTGTGCAGTGAGAGCAGTGTGCAGTGAGAGTGCAGTGTGCAGTCAGTGCAGTGTGCAGTGAGACATCAGTGAGATGCCCTCCACCTGGCACAGCCCCAGGGCCTGTACAAGGTCTAATGATATCCTCCAGGACTGATGTCCTACCTGTTGAGGCTCCAACCCCTCTCAGTCCACTCTGTTCTTGGGGCAAGGACCCTCTGGCCATTGTCCTTTGGGGATAAGTTCTCCTGTTCCAACATGCTAAATACATGTTTGTCCATGACTCAGAGTCTCATGACGTCCAGGTATGAGAAGTGGCCAGCTTCCCTCTGACACTAGGTTTTGTGACGCAGCTTAGTCAGGACATTTTCTCATGGTTATCTGCCACCTGTCTTTCACCAAGACTGAACCCTTACCCGGAGGTTGCCGTTCTCTAACCTGGAACCCCGGGGAGAATAGCCATGATGACCGGCGTGGAGTGCTGTCCCTGGGTTTCCACTTCCATGTTGAAAACAGAATGACTGCTGCTGTCCTCAGAAGCAGTCACCCAGAACCCCCCCCTCTAGGACGCATCCTTCAAGCGGCCATCCAGTAACTGAAACTTTTGCACTGGGGATTTGTGCATGGTGAACATCATCATACATCTGTCAAGACGCTCAGCCGAGGACGTCCCTTCTGATGTCACGTCCTGTGAAGTGGCCTGACGCCTCAGATACAAGGCGCCAACCACAACCCCATGAACGACGCACAGCCCAAGGGGAAGACCTCAGGGGCTGAGGAACGGGAGGAATGCTGGCCTGTAATTCCCTGATGTCCGAGTGTGATGTCACCTTGGGATCTAACAGATTTTATGTGTACGAAATGTGCCCTGCCACAGCACGGGGCACCTGTGTTCACACTGACAGCCTGAATGTCAGAGAAATGACACAGATTCTTTTTAAATTCAGCATATATACATATATACGTACATAAATATAAAATGGAATAGCCGTTCACACCGCAGGCTGACTATGCCCAGGAATGGATCCGTAACTTCTGTGAGGTGGTGACTCTCTTCTGTGATACGTGCTTCATTTATTTTCTGTCACTCGTTTCTGAAGTGTACCCCACGATGGAACCCCATATTCATAACAAGGAATATGGTGTGTTCCTTTTCCATTCAGTTGGCAGACATTTATTTAAGTATGCAGGTGATGTATTTGCTGTCACTGGGAGGGGAGCGAATCAGCACATAAGCTGTTTCAGATTCTCTTGGATGGTTAAGTTTGAGAGGAAGGCATTGCCTTAAACTATTACACCTACAGGTGGAAGCTGGATGTCCTGTCTCCTGTGGACACAGCCATGAGAGGTTTCATCCTTCCAGTGTCTGCTGAGTCTCTAGACTCGGGGTGGGAAGTGACTTGACCCTTTTTCTCACATCAAATATAACACAGATGCAAACGCAGAAAGAAACCCTTGGTCACCTCCCTCCCATTACAGCCTCCCTGATGTACACATGCCCTGCAGAGTGGGAACCTTCGTTTTCATAGAGGAACTCGGGGAAAGGCTTGCCTCTCCTGACTCGTTTTCTGAAATAGAAGGTCGTGTGTGCCCAGTGGCCATGCTTCCGGACTCTGAGCACAGTTATGGTGGAGATGTGTGGCTTGCATACTCACCCCGGTCCTCTGCACTTCCATGAAAGTTGCTCTTTGGAATGACTTCTCCCACATGGCGAGCTCGCAGCCCAGGTCCACGTTGAACACATGGCTCTTCCCCTGGCCGGCAAGGACACTGAAGTAGTATGGCCTCTGGTCCTCAAAGTCAAAGTCTTGGAGACCCAGATATAAGTTTGCTTGCAGCCAGTAGTCGCCTGTAAGCCCGAACTGAAAAACAGCATGGACTAAAAATGGGTCAGAGTTGGATGGTAGATACCAGACTGTGGAAACCAAGGGGCCACTTAGCCAGGTTCCCAGGAGAGGCAAAGAGGGAAAGGGGTTTGTGTGGCCTGGTGGAGGTCACCTCCTTGTCACACTTCCAGAGGCAGGTTCTGGAGCAGATGGTATGGTGTGGCCAAAAAAAAAATTATTGTAACTTAATTATGTCCAGCCTCTGACTAACTGTAGGTTACTGTACCTTAAGAGAATGGTAAACACAACTTTTTTCCATATATAATTTTAAAGACAGAGAAAAAAGCCTTGAGACTCTTATGCTCACTGAGGACAGCACACACCTGGGCATTTAATCTATGCTGAGTCCCCAGGAATGCCTGGGTTCAGTCCTGTGAAGACTTAATGCCCGGGGGTCTCTGACCATTTCTTGGTCATCCTGGGTCTGATGATCTTGACCAAAGACAGCAAGTGTTTAAGAAATATTTTCAAAAGCAAAGAAAGAAGGCATAAACTGACCATGGAATGGCTGGGGACCACAGATTCACCTTGACTACCCTGGGAGTTGATGGAGCACGGAGCCCACATTCGCTCACCCGTCTCCTCCCTGGGCCTGACACATGCTCATTCCGAAGCTGCCATTCAGGACCCACTTGACTCAAGGTTAGCTACAGGGCTTGGGTGTCCTCAGTTGTCACCACTCTCAGCCCAGCAGTGTGTGGAAGCAGGTGACATGTGCACAGAATCTCTGTCTGACTGACGCTCCCTTTCTCTCTCTCTCTCTTGCTCACTTATTTCATCACTCATTCACAGATCACAGCCTGGTGGAAAATGATGTTTTCTGCAGCTCTGTGAGGGTGGCAGAAAGGCAGGGAGCCTGGCTGGCCTCTGTTTGCTTCACACTGTGATTGTGAGATATCTGGATCCACCTGTGCCATCCATTGCCGACCCACCCAAAGCTCTTCCCTAAATCCACATGCACTCAAATGTCTCCATTTGATAAGTATACCTTGCAGGCACAGCTGTGACATAAACACAACACTTGAGACACATGACACCTGTGTCCAGGAGACTGGGACTCTCCAGGTAGCTGTGCTGAGCCCCTGGCCTGGGAGGTGGCTCCACTGTACCCCATTTGCTGTCTGTCACTTGGCAATTTGCACATTTATTCTTGTGTGTCATCTGGACACCAACTGCCTTATGGTGAATGCATCCATGTGCAAGCATGTGTGAGTGTGTGTGCATGTCTGTGCACATGTGTGTGTGTACATTTCTAACCCCAGTGAGCCTTGAGAGCAGAATCTGTACCTAGAGTCCCACACCAGACCCTTCACCTCAGACCGGATACCTGAAAACTGTGTGGTGACATGTCTTAAACTAACAATATTAGTTGTTGTCCTTGCTTTGCAGAAATTATTTTTCTACCTACTGAACTTAAATGTCAAAAACAGATAACCAGAAATGAAGATGTTTATTTGGGCAATGTAAGTTGAGTGACTAATTATTTTTCTTATCACTGGTTACTGTTGGAAAAGAAAAATGGGTTCTGGAGATAGATAAGATGTGAACCTTCCTTTGCCAATTCCTAGCTACTTGACCTTGAGCACCTGACTTCTCTCTAAGCCTCAAGTGTTGACTGTAAAATGGAGTCAAAATAAAAAAGGCTCCATGGCTTTAGTGACAGCATGGGAACACACAGGACACATAAATCCTCAGCTCATATCATTTTACTGTTTCCATAAAGGACACATTACCTTCAAGGCTGTGCTGAGCCGTATGAAAGATGAAAGTCTGATGATTAATTCTTAGCTCCCAGTTTCCTCACAAGTCAGCAATCAAATTACCTGGTCCCAGTGTCCCCAGACCTGCTGCCGTGACCGCTTCCCGCCAGGACCCCAAGAAAGACATCATTATGGATTTCCTTCCCCCTGTCTGCACTTCCATCACAGGCAGCCTAAAGTTCCAGATTTAAATTTAAAATAGAGCAGCTGCAAACATCCCGAGAGACTAATTTTATGATATTTTCAATTGGAGAAAAGAAATTGAACTTCTTGAAACCATCAGTCTCCATTCAAACTCTGACTTTTAATTCATGACTGTTCCAGTCAAACTGTCAGGCTAAAACTGTTATATTTCAAACTCTCATTTTGTGTACACACTTTTCTACACAGTGGATTTGCATACAAAAGACAAAAGAGGTTTGTTTGTATGCAACATTTCTGTCCTAAAAACAGTGAGCACACCCCCAGTACCATACACACCTCCACCACAGTGCACTAGCAATGGTGGGCACGACCTCCTTGCTGTGAAGTTTCTATCTACAGCTGAAGCAGGTGACTCTGAAAGCACTGTGGCCACCGTGGGTAAAACTGCCATGTTATTCTCTGAGTTGTTTCCCTCTGACTAGTTAAATTTCTTTACTAGTTACTCTGGTTGGTCAGCGCAGACTGGAAGATGGATTTGTACTTGAGTGTTGAAAGCATCTACAATAGCAGCAGAAGCAGCAAAAACATCAACAGCAGCAAAATCCAAAGTTCCTGAAATGTATCATGGTGGTTGGAAAAGCTCTAACACACAAATCTCCCCAACACACACACAACACACAACATACACGCAAAACACACACATGCACACGCACACCACCCCTCCATCCATCGACCTGCTGCATGAGGCTAGCACAGCAGATGGGGGCAGAGGGTTGGGACACTTTGCTGTTTTGTGGCCCTCAGTGAACAAGCTCCCCTGCAGCTGTAACCCTTGGGTCATCTTATTCCTCTGAGGCATCTGAGTGCTGTCACCCACCTTGTGAACTTTGAACAGCACCTCACAGAGGTTGTAGACTCTCTCTGCACACGCCCAGTCCAGGGTGCTCACCTGAAGGAAACACAAAATGGACACATGAAGGAAGACTGGCTTCTTACAGCTGAGACCTTCCACTGCTAACACATGGGAGTGACTCCCTGTGCCTCCACCATGGCTAGATGCTAAGTCACCAGGAGCACCTTGGTCACACTGTTCTTGACATGCTGCCGTGAGCTCCAACAAGAGATCTGGTGCTGTCTTTGGTGCGTGGCGTGGATGTGGAAGCACGGCGCTGAGGCAAGACCTGGCAATGCAGGAACTCCTCGTGTATTACACATGGCTGGGCATAACCATAGTAACTCATTTGAGAATCTCTTTGCACTCAATTCAGGACTAATTTTAGATTAAGTGCAGAGAATTCAAGATGAGTTTTCTTGTGAAATGATCGTGTGCTACAATGGAGAGAAAGTGCAGTCTACTGGTCCTAACTAGAGGTTCAGGTCCTCTGGGAACTCCTTGGTTTGAGCCACGTGAGTGGCAGTTCTGGTGACAATTCCACCAGAGAAAATGCTCGAGATGTGCTCAGTGCTTCAGAGCCACCCCAGTCAGAAGGTTTCTGCAAGCGTGATGCATGGTGTGAAAAGCACACCCTGGCAGGAAGAACGAGGCAAGGTGCAATGTGATAGGAAGAAGTGCAATCAGGATGGTCACGCCACGGTTGTTCTTGGATCTAGGACAACACTCAGGCCAGAAGTGTGGCTTCTAGAATTAGCTGGAGATGGTCCTAGTGAGTATTTCAGAGTTAAGTTACAAAAAACCCAACCCTCCCCCAAGGCTGAGGTGCTCAGCATTCTGAGATGACATCGCCAGGGTTGCTGACCCCACAATTGCTCTGTCTGTCCCCTTCCCTCCTCAAGTTCCCACCAGCTGAGTCTTATGATTCCCTCACGGAGCTCGGGGCTGCTCCTATGATTAGAAAATGAGTGAACATGTATGTATTGTTTTTAACTTTCCCATTGTGACACTGCAACTTATTCTGGGAGAATCTAAAAATTACAAAATCTAAAAATCAAGAAAATTCAAATCAATGACTGAACACATTATTCAGAGACATCCTCCCTTAATAGCTGACTTGGTGTTTAAGTTTGAGTTATACACTGTCAGAATTATGTTTTTCAAAAATGTAATTTGTAATATCAGCATTTTCCTATGTCAATATTTCTCAGTGATAAAGTTTTAATGACTGTTCAGAATTTTAGTGCGTGGGTTTGTTGTTTTTGTAAGCTTTATCATTGTGACAAACATCTTAGCCTTCAGTCATTATAATGTTCAGATGAGTATGTTTAGAGGGCACGGGATTCTGACCTTATATATCATTGACTATATTTTCCTTATTAGTTCGCTATCAATATATAGCAGAACAACTTCTCTAGAGTCACATTCTATAAGGATGGAAGGAGGCTGTTTATCATTTGCACACTTCCGACTGTGTCCACAGCATGCTCACGGAGGACTTGCTCTCTGCGTTATCTGCCACAGCTCAGTGCTGGCTTTGCTGTTACAGTGACCAGTAGTCACGCCTGTCCCCTGGAGGGTGACCCTGTCTCCGCCCCAGCTCCTGGACTCCTGAGGTGGGTCGGGCTCCTAGCCCAGGGGAGTCAGACCTTGCATCTCATTGTCTTAGTCACTTGATGGACTCAGGGAAGAGACCGAGCCTCATCAGAGACAGTGACATGAGTTGATGCTCAGACTTCTGGACAGAATCCTTCTGTCTGTGGGCCTGGAGGAAACACTGCCTGCTGCTGTTGGAAGCCAGTTACTGACAATGTATCACCATTGGCTCCTCTGTTGCAACAATGTATCACACAGGTGAAAAATTGACAGTAATGGGGAAATGGCATAGGCTGAGGTGAGGCCAACCTTGACTTTGTTTTTATGTAAACCTAACACTCTCTGAAAACAGTCTATTAATTTAGAACAGAAGCGGTCTTTGTTTCTTTGCCTCTTTCTGGTTCACCTGAGCTCCACATCTCCTTTAAGGCTAGCTCAGTCCATCCTGATGCCTCTCATGACAGCCAGGGCAGGCGTCCCTCCCCTTGAAGCCCAGCAGTGGTGCCACCTGGGGACCCTGTGACTCTCACTCCAGGGTCAAAGCTACGCTTACACAGCACAATCCTGCACAGAGGGCCCTGGGATGCAGGATGTCGATGGCTTGTGTAGTTAGTGCAGCCGGCACCCAGATGTGGATGGAGTGAGGAAAGCCAGACTGGTGGAGCCTGGCTCTTGCAAAAGGAGGTAACTAAGTTTCTGCCTGAGGAAAATTGCCATTCATTATGCCCTTCAGGTTCCTTCCACTTTTTGTTTTTTTAGTTACAGCTCTAGAGTCTTGTTAGAACAATTCAATTCAGAGCCTAACCATCTCACAGACAGGTACAATTTAAGATAAACATTTTCAAAATATCCAAGATAAGTAAGCCTTAGGGAGTGCCTGTGTTGATGACTCCAAAGTGTGCACCACTAGCAAGGCATTTTACCTGAATAAGATTGGGGGTTTTAACACTACTCAAAAGTTTTTTTTAAAAAAAGTTCTTTTCTGATGTTAGTTAGACAAAATGATACAAAATTACTTTTAGCAAAAAAGAAAATTGAGGAACATCAGTGCACTTGTTTTTAGGAGAATGCAGTTGTTATGCAAGTATGCAGGTGACTTTGAAGTAAAAGAAAAACAAGACAAAACAACAAACTTGCAACTAATGCAGTATGGTATTGTTTGTCCCATGAGATGGACAGAGTGCATTAGTGAAACCTCAGCAAGGTTTCAGGCTCTGTGAGTTTAGTTGATATACTTTGGCGAAGTAATTTTTTACTTTTATCAATGTGTAGGATGTATGTGTTAGGGAAAGGTGAGCATTGAGTATAAATTCTGAAATCATAAAAATTTTTCCACAATAAAAAGCTTAATGTAAATAAACTATACTTATCAATAAACAGAAAAGATTGCTATACTGTTTGATAATGCCTGAGGGTGGAACTTACTTGTGTCACTTTATTTACTCTTAGTGGTGGAAATTTCCATCAGCCCTGCATGTAACTTAGACTCAGGTTTTTTAGATACCCAAGTTGTCAGGTTTTGTAGCTTGATTAAGATGGGGGCGGGGTGTCAGACCACAGAGAGTGAAAATGCTCTAAACAACAAGCTTAAAAGCTTGTCTAAAAACCTTAAAAGCTCTGTTTAAAGACAGAACACTCACACTGTATGTGGTCAGTTCAGGGACAATGGTGTGGGTAGGAATCAGAAAATAAAATTACAGAACAAAAGCCTTTAACCTTCCATTCATATGTGAACCTTGCTAAAGCAGGTTATTTTAATAACATTTGGAAACTATAAGGGAAGGAAGAGCTTTAAATTTCATTATTTGGTTTAGCCATTCAACTTGAAACACCTAAGGAGAAGGGCTATGTTTTGTTTTGTTTGGATTCTTCAACCACATAACTGATGTGCCAAGACTACAGCCTTCCATCCTCTCCCTCCAAACCAGTTGAGATTTTAAGCAAAGAAACTCAACAGGATCTCAATGGATGTTTGAACTGAAAGACAGAAATGGATTCCTTTGGGAATGTGGAGTAAAGGAACCGAGGAGCTTGAAAGGTGTCCTTACCGGAGGAGTGCTGAAAATGTAGACGGAGGATCCCTTCAGGGCCAGGAACGTGGGTCTGAATGTCTCCGAGGAGTCAGGTTCCAGGAGCCTCTCATTTGCCCACCCCATGTGCACAACCTGCAGAGGGAAACCTTTGAAAATTAAAAACCCAACCTTAATGAGCACATACTGGAGAAGAAAGCTTTAATCTCAATGCCACAAAATGCAAACTATAAAAGTCAGGACATGGTTCAAATACGTACAGGAAATAGTAATAGGATTTGAGAATTCAACAATATTAAGGAAAAATTCCTGTCATGCCACGGATGTGAATGCAACTACTTATTTTGTAGTAAGTGACACGAGCAATATCATTTATGTTTTCTCATTTGCCATTTCTAAGAAAACATATTACCTAACATATCCTTATTCAGGAAAAAATTGAAACAAGGCAGACTCCCCAGACACCTCATGGACTAGCAGAGCCCTCTGCTCTCCTTCCAGATGGACCGGCACGACTGGGAGTCCTTCAGGTCTGAGGACCGCATGTCTGTGCATGGAATCCTAGGGAGGAGCTGAGTGTTTATCAGCAATGACCACAGCCCAAGGTCAGGCAGCCCAGCTCCAGGTTGTCACCTGATAAACTCTGACAGTTTTCCCTCTTATGCCTGACGAAAGACTTCCTAAAAGTCACAGTGTCAGATGAAAGTTACAGAAAGAGTTTCTGAAAACAGTATTTCCCACAATGGGAAATGCAAATTAAAGAGCCCAGTTCTGCTGAAGTGTCAGCCAAAGCTGACCCATCAACATTCTCATGGTTTTCTGTTTGAATACACAAAGCTTTGACCTCGTCCTATCAGGCCATCCTAGATAAACAGAGCTTTCTATGTAACCCAGATAGCCTCTGGCTCACAGCTCATAAATTTCCTGTTTACCCATGACCCAAGAAGATGAAAGCCATGGCAAGTGATAAAATGATAACATTTCTCTCATATGTGACCTGGGGCACATTCCACACAGCTATACCTCCCTTTTCCCTGATAAATGGAACTACAATTACCAATCTCACATGGTAATAGTGAGAATCCAATGCTATGCCACAGAAAAATCCCCTCTCAAAGTGTCAGAAGGGAGAGGGCAGCAAATGCACTGTTCAGATGGCATCCACACTGAGAAAACTACCAAAATATAACTCATGCCTTGAGTATCTGCTGGTTTGGTACCCAGTTCACAGAATGTTTAAAAATATCTAATAGTTGATTTTCCTCTTTTTGTCTGTTTAGTTGGGTCATTTAAGATACATTTTTGTGGGCTATCTACCAGTGGTAACTCTGCTACAAATGTGAAGATGTACTTAACTTCTATTTGTTAAAAAGTTGCATTTTTCTAGCTAATTTAGCAGGTGCTTAGTACCTTTAAAATCAGCATGAAATTATAGGTGTGTGCCTAGAATTCCAGCTACTTGGGAGGTGGAATTGGAAGAATCACAGTTCTAGCATGTGAGAAAAGTTAGAGAGACCTCGTCTCAATCAATAAGCCAGGCATGGTGGTGTGCGCTTGCCATATCAGGTATGAGGGAGGTACAGATAGGAAGGTCGTGGTCCAGGCAGGCCTGTGCAAAAATGAAAGAATCTATATCAAAACCAACCAAAGCAAAAAGGGCGGACATGTGGCTCTAGTGGTAGAGCACCTGCCTGGCATTGCAATGCCCCGAGTTGCCAAAAGAAAACAAAACAACTAATGTGATTTCAATATGCGACTTCTTGGTTCTGATCCCACCACTATAATGATCTATACAGCTTATTTGCTAATATTAATTTTAAGCACGGTCACTAAAACCAGAGAATTGCAAACAGTGACTTTTACAGAATAAGGAAAAGAATATGACACCAGTGGTGTATCCCAAAAGAACTGAGCCTGCTGGTGTGAAGACAGTGGCGCTTCCCTACTGTAAGTCAGTGCATGGTCACAAGACTGCAGTTCACTAAGGGACACTGAGGGTCTGGTGAGGTGTCATCACATGGGCTTGGTCCTGGATCTGTCTGGCTTTGTGAGCAGGTGTGCAGCTGCACCTGGGTGGCTATGTCTGCTGTCAGCCAGGATGTCTGAGCTGAAGCTCTGCTACTGATTCAACCACAGGTGCAACTGGTGCTTCCAGAAAATGCAGGGGAGCTTGAGTTCCAATGATGGCACACCTTAGCAGTCAGCAGCAAGTTCGGGTCCACTCAGACGCTGTGTTTATTGCCAGGTCCTGCACCAGGGACCTGACCACTACTGAGTCAGTGAAGGAGAGACAGAGACACCAGAATCCACAAAGCAACATTACATAATGGAGTCCGAGCTCCTTCTGCAGGTCTGGAAACGTAGTTCAAGGTTCCCTGAAATGTGTCAAGCAAGCATTTCCTCTGTAAGAAATGCTAATGGCCAAGCCTTTGAGTTTGCATCTAATTAGATCCTGAGTTTGTGTCTAATTTGAGACATACAGAGCAGGAGGTGTTTGAAGCAACTCTTTTGTCTGCAGGGGAGGGCAAAATCAGCTGCTTTCCTTCATTACCTGAGTCCATTTTCAAATGTTGCTGTATCTGTCAGTTTTCATTGCTGTGACAAAATCATGGGACTGTCAACTTAAAGGAGGAGGTTTGCTTTTGGCTCACAGTTTCCAAGGTTTCAGTTCCTGGTCTCTTGGCCCTGTCGATGCTGGCCTGAGGTGACACCGGCACTCTGCTGCATGTGATACTCTGCTGGGGAGGATGTGGTGGAGTAAGGGCTCACCTTGTGCTGCTGGGGAGGGAGGGAGGGAGGGAAGGAAGGGGGCGAGAGAGAGAGAGAGAGAGAGAGAGAGAGAGAGAGAGAGAAGGGGAGGGAAAGACAGAAGGAGAGAGAGGGAGGAAGGCACCCAGGTCCAATATCCTCTTCAAGGACACATTCGCAATGACCAACCTCTTCCAACTAGGCAGCATCTCCTGACATTAGCACCACCTAATGCAAAGCTACCAGCTGGGAACCAAGCATTCAACATACAACCTTCGGTGGTGGTGGGCGGGCGTCCCGGACCTAACCCACAATAGCTGCCAAGCCTTCCCATTCTCCTCCTTCTCTTCATGAATTTTGATTTCACCAGGAGCGGACTTTGGATGGGACTCTGATGTGTAGGAACTTGAGGCAGGACTACAACGTTCACAGATACATAAGTCAATATGGACAGATGAGAAGAAGAGAGACTGATTTACACTGTAGCTGGGTCAAGGTGAGTAGGGAGATGAAGTGTGGATTCTTGATTCCTGGCTAAATTGTGGAACTCAAGATCTTTCTTTCCCACAGTAGCAGCGCAAGCGCTCCTCAGCTTGGAGAACACAGGTAGAGTCTCCATCTCTTCCAGTGCAGCGTGAGGATCACAGCCATGGTCACTGGCTGGGGATCCAGAGCTGACACTGACGCACTCTGCTCTCCCCCTCCCTCTGCCAGCTCCCCACATCTAGTTAGCACCCCACTCAGCACATAGTTCAACAAGAGTCCACATGGAGGAGCGGGTGACGAGCTGTCCTTCTGGTCACAATGGGGATGGCTGTCAATAATCTTAATCATCAGTTTGTTGGGTGTGAATGTCATGAAATCCCATGCCTAATATAATTCTGCCTAGCTCAATTAGCACAGACGTAAGTTATAGCTTGCTATTATTGGAAAGATTGGCTGCTTTGTGAGTCTTTTTTATGTATGTACAGAACATATATAACCTTAAGGAAAGCTGATTTTATCTTTCACATTTCGAATTTTGTAAAGGCTCATTGCATATTCCAAGAAGTATGTATTATGCCTTTATGAACAGCTACTGGAGTGTGTCACCATAATTGACAGGAGAGAACCATCCTAACAGAGCTGGGATTAGAATCCAGGTTCAGTGAAGCAGGGGTGCCATGCTGGCACTGATGTCACAGAAACCAGGTGACTTGCGGCAGTGTCACTGAGGTGAAGTAAGGGTGAGGTTCTTCCTTGCCTCAGACTAAGCAGGATCACTCGTGTCATTTCTGGTCCTGGAGCTGTACTTCTCTGATGGAGCGATGTCCCTAAGCTGCCATCTTATGGGTGTCCCTTGTTCTTCAGCGGGAAGAGGGGTGTTCAGTTCCAAAGCAGAGGCAGCAGGTTTTGATTGCAGAACAGTGCTCTTTCCATGGTGACAAGAAGTTCGGGCACATCTGAGGAAATCCAGTGTTCCACTGCTCCATGAACACAGCGCCTTCCAACAGCTCGTTCTCAGCAGAGTGGACTTTCCCCTCCAAGGGGTCCTTCCCCGTTGTGCAGTGACCAGGAATGATTTGTCTCTTCAGTCATGGTGACCTGGGTTGGATAACAGAGGCCACAATCCTCACCAAGCCAGATGGGGAAGCTGAGGCTGAGGACCTCCAGGGTCTCCTTACTCCTCCTGGATCTCAGAAGGGTCTGACTCTTGACACACAGACTCTCAGGATACCGCTGTTAATTTTCTGGTAGGAAATCCAGTTTCAATAACGGTAAGGAATTCATGCAGACAGTGGCACCGATTGGGCCTCCTGTCCCAATACATAAATCAAGAGAAAATGCTTCTGAGTGTCAGAAGAGTTTAGAGGGCCTTCTTTCAAAACCTCGAAGTACAAATAGCATGATACAATATGGGTGTGTGCATAAAAATATAAAATGAGTCCTGGATTAATCTGAAGACACATATAAAAACATCACTCATGAAATAGCCAAACCCTCATTTGGTGACACAGAACACAAACAGTTGACAATTAATTTAGAAAAATATGAATTTAGAAGAACTTTTCTTAATTGCTTCTTTTCCAATGTAGAAAGGTTGCCTAGAGGGTTTAATTTAAAGCACAGCATAATTTCTTGTGCTTTTCAGTAAATCCTTGGTGGGGGAGACATGTTTTCCTGCATGTCTTCACTATAGGAAGGGCGTTTATGAGCTCCAGTCAAAGCAAACCGAGCATCGCACTCAGGTTCTCAAGGCTACAATGCATGCTTCCTCAAACCTGGGAACGTGATCAGGAAATGAAGGAACGATGAATAAAATGTTTCTCCTTACCTGACAGCTTAAACTACGACTTTATTCAAAAGAAGATAGAGTAACATAGTGGCTCAAACAACACAGTTGTAATGGCTTATTGTTTAGACCTTACAGAGCTAATAATGAGCAGCCCTCAAGTGACACAACCAGGCATTCAGGCTAGGAGCTGGTGTGACTGAGGAGGTGCTGGTGGGGGCAAGGCTAGTTAAGAGCTGGACTCTCAGAATGAACTTCCCAGGTCATGGGATGGCAGGACCCTGCCTGCCTGCATTGGCCTCCAGTGAAGCTTACGGATAAGGATGTCATCTGAGAAAATGATTCCAAACTCCACGGTGCATCTGCCTCACACACCCATCAGTTCACACAGCACATCTATAGCACTGCTTAAATCACATTTCTACGGTAACATTTATAATTGCCATGGGAACCACAGGCAGGTAAAATGCTGTCCTATCCTATCCCATATAAATGGATAGTTTCCGGGTTAACACGGTGGGCAGAGACCACCAATTTCACTGTGATATTTGCTAGAGTTTTCTTACCAAGATTTCCAATTCAAATTTCCAAAAACCAGAAAGTGGCTACATTTGGAGAACCACAAATTCCACCTCGCCAGAAAACCACAAATCCTACCTGGTCAGAAAACCACAAATCCTACCTGGTCAGAAGGAGAACAGCATTTATTGGCCATTTTCATCTGCAGAGAGAGGGTAGGGAGGAGTCAGCACCCAGGTATAACCAATGCTTCATGTGCCAACCTGATTGATGGCCGGTATAAACTCGGCATGAAGTGTCCCAGAAACAAGCTTCTGTTAGGATATGTTTCTTATCTCAAAGTCAAACTTCATGGTAGCAATTCTCATAATAGAAAAACTGTATTAGCATGCTTCAATTATTCTTCCCCAAACTGAGCACTTTATGACAGTGTCGCTGTGCAACTGCAGGGATGAAGGGCCAACATCTCACAGTGGAGAAAACCGTCTGTGCTGTACCTGATCTCAGGGGATCACAATGATCCCTTCACATGAGTTTCATTTAGTCTCCCCACACCTGTGAGGTACAAGCTATTTTCCACATTTGCCAGTGAGGCAAATGGAGATGCAGAGTAACCACATTCTCTGACCACAGGTGCACATGCCTGCTCTGCTCTGCTTTTCAGGGTGACGGGGAAAATCAGCCAGCTGGAGGACCCATGCTCAAGGCATTTCTGCAAGTATCCATCTAGCTCTGCCTGGCTGGGGCTTGCTGGTTTCTTTATTTGATTTTTCCTTCTATCCATCAAACTACTTTTGTAAGTCAAAGTGTAGAATTTAAAAGCTAGAATATTAGGAAGGTACTTTCCTGCAGAAAGAAAGGCTCTGAATCTTTAGAATAGAAATCTTGCAAATTGCTACTTCCCTAAAGATTTCAAGTTTGGGCTGGGGGTGTGGCCAAGCCATAGAGTGACCGCTGCAGAGGCAAACTGCTCAGCCAACTTGTGTTTAGCAGGCAGGGACAGGCAGGGACATGAGGAAGGAGTGGTCAGCAGGGAGAGGCAGCAGGTTAGTAGGGTTGGACCACACCCACCGTCACAGGCTGCTCCCAACACCTCTGGTGCCAGGCACCAGGAACGGAGCAGGGACTGGGCGCCAATGCATTTGCTGGTAGGGAGCGAGGATGGGGGAGTTAGGCAAAAGCCCCTTTGACCAAGTGTTGGTCATCGGTCATGTCAGAGCCTCACTGCTGGGTCCTGGGCTGGCTGCAGCTTGGGGTGCTGCATAGGGATATAACGCTGGCCTGAGATTTTCCTCCAGCCCTCTCCATCCCTTTTAATTCTTCTCTTTTTAACAACTTTTGCTGACTTTGAATGTCAGACACATTGCTCAAGGACACAGACTTTTTTTCTGGCCCAGATTCCTGCAGTGAAAATGTGAGGTGTAACATTTTTGGTTTTCTAAGTCTTGTTATACATTTTCATGATGTTTTGGGAAATTACATTTTAACCCAATTAGGTTCCCCCCCAAATAAAGATGTCATGTTACCTTAATGCATTTGAATAAAATAGCTCCTGTGCTTGTGGTGAGAAAGAAAGAGAGGAAGAGAGGGAGGAAGACACAGGAGGGCGTGTGCCTGGTTTAGTCCGCACTCTCACTTGTGGATTCATCTAGATGACTTGATTTCTAACTTTCTGGGCAGAGATTTCATACACCGAAGCCAGTCCGTGTTTTGCTTGCTGCAAAGCCCTGCTGTAGGGTGCAACAGATAACACTGGCTTCATCAATGGCCCTGTGACAAGAGCAGAGGACATTCACAACGTGTGCTCACATTTTGAAGTGTCAGATTGCTGATGTTGGCCGACACCGCACGCATCCAGTCAGCACAGTCCTGGGCCGTGTAAAACTGAAGGACTCCTGTGCTGGTTCCATCCAGGGCCAGCACCTCGAAAGCACTGGACCTGTGGGAGGAGAGAAGGTGCTGTCAGGAGGCCAGGGGCATGCAGGAGAGCAGTGTGTGCTCAGCAGTGTCCTGGCGGGAAGCTGACCACTGTGCTGCTCCCTGGTGCTGATGGTCACCAGGGAAACACGGTGGGCTCCCAATCAACCAAGATGCTTCACCAAAGCAAAGGTTGGCTGTTGAGTACTCTCACCAGGAGTTCTGGGTGATTTAGTAAACATGTGAGCAGTCCAGATGGGAAGAGGCTCCCTGCTGACATTGGCTAATTGCTGCTTCATAGGTCTTGTCTTAGTAATTCTTTTGAAGGCTGTTTGTGCCAACAACGGTGGCTGTCATGGGGAATAACAGCCCTTGACAGTGACTATGATGCTGAGAAGCATCAGCAAACTCTGTGTTGACACAGACCAGAGAGCACAAGCTGCTAAGTGTCATCCTTGGGACTGTGAGCACAGACACTGCTGAGTGACGCCACTGGGACTGTGTGTGCACACTGCTGAGTGATGCCATGTGGACCGTGTGTACACACTGCTGACTGATAGCACGTGGACTGTGTGCAGACACACTGCTGAGTGACATCACAGAGACTGAGTGCTTGCAGTGCTGACTGTTAGCTTTTCCTTGAAGAAACCTCATCATCTTCCTTTCCACGTGCACCAGCTTCCCACAAGCCCAGCCTTGCCAAGTTTTGAACAGCCAACTGACTTCACCTCAGCGGTCTTCTCCTGCATCACACCGTCTTTCAAAAGGGTCAAGTTGGGAGACGAAGCAGCATCACAAGGAGTGAAGCAAGGCAGGGGCAGTGTCTGGGGTGCCCTACGTTCGAGCAGCTGGAGAGAGGAGAAACAGTGGGGGAAACACACAGGAGCAGCTGTGAAGTGGGAGTGCGTCCTGGAAGTGATGTGAAACAACTTGGTGTGGAAGAAGGGTGGACTATTAGTGCTGCTGGTGTCTCAGGGGTGAGCAACTTTAACTACAGCCACGGTACATGTACAATTAAATAACCCACTCAAAATGCAGAGGTTTTATGAGTGGACGAGAAAACAAGAGTGAACCATCAGTCTGTCTTCATGAGAGACACTTCAGATTTAATGGCACAAAAGAGACAGAAAGCAAAATGACAGGAGATGCCTCAGCAAAACACAAATATGAGAAAGCTGAGTGACTCTAGCAACATCAGAGCAAACAGAACTTAAAAACAAAGATGTTTAAAATGATAAACAGTCATTCCACCAGAAGGAAATAACTGTACAAGATGCCCCACTACTGACGAATGGATTAAGAAAATGGGGTATTTATATATAATGGAATTTTATTCAACTACAAAGAAGAATGAAATTTTGCAGGTAAATGGATGGAAGTGGAGAACATCATCTCAAGTGAAGTTAGTCAGGTTCAGAAGACCAAAAGCTGCATGTTTTCTCTCACATGTGGAATACAGACCTAATACCAATACAGCAGTATTATGAAAACAGGTCACGCTAAGGGGAGGTCACATACGAGAGGGGGAATGTAGTAGAAGGAAGTTAAGAAGGTGAATGTGGTTGATGTACTCTCTATACAAGAGTGAATACAGAATTTTTAAACTTGTTGCTGCCACCATAAAAAGTGGACCAAGGTAGAAAGAAGAAAACAGAGGAGATGAACTAATTCAGGTTATATTATATATTAGAAATACATACATAGAAATGTCACAAGGAAACTCCCTGTGTAGCTATCCTAAGCAAACAAAAATGTCATTTTTTTTTCATTTACAAAATTGGAGAACAAGAGGGCAGAACAGGTCCTGTCTGGTGGGGTTGGTACCAGTGGGAGGCAGGGAGGTGCTGGGGAAAAGGTGTGGAGGGTGAATATGGTGCAAATACTGTGTACACATGTATGTTAATGGGAAAATGAGAGCTGTTGAAACTGTTCCAGGAATGGGGATAAAGGAGAATGGTGGAGGAGTGAATTCAAGTATAACATATTTGATATAGTGTATGAACTTTTATAAATGCCACAATGTGCCTCAGTACAATAATAAATAGTTTTAAAAGAAAAAGATTTTAGGCAGAAAGCACACTGTGAGTACAAGCAATGGCACTGGATTTATCATATGCCCGGGAAGTGACTGATGGTCAAGCATGGCTCTTAAAGAGTAGGAAAAAATATAGGGAGAGGTTAATATTGAAAGGTTTTTGTGGAATATAATTGGGAAAATGAGGTCATCATTTTGTAGTTTGAAAAAAACTAAGTCTGTCCACAGTGTCAAATGGAATGAAGACACTAGGTAGAGTGAAACAAATCTGAAGGTTTGTCATAGTTGAAACAAGAAGTGGTAAGGGCAGGAACCGTGTCTGTCTTTCATCATTGTATTTGCAGTGACTAGCATAGTAAAACACAGAGCTGAAGTAAGGAGCCAACAAAAGGAGGGGTCGAGATGTATTCAGAAAATAGAATTGACAGAATTGAAACTACAAAGGGTGAGTTCAGAACACTTCAGACAAGATCAAGTTAAAACTTGCCCAAAGTACAATTACTGCTTTTGTCAGATTACAATGGCCTGGACACACAGATTGCCCAAACTGACTCACTGCACCAACATTTGTAGTGCATTTTTGAGAGTGTCCAAAAGGTCACTGATTCATTTGTTCGAGGCTTGAAACTCATGATCAACTAGTCTGAACAGAACTGGCAGACCCCTCTGTCCACAAGGATGGTCATTCTTCCCAAGTACACACAGGATATCCTCCAGGGCAGAACATGCTAGACCACCAAGTCCCAATGACCTCTACATGTAAAGGGACAGAAATGATGTCACTGCATATTCTTCAAGCATGGTGGAATGACATTTGAAGTCAATAACATAGAAAAAGTACAAAACTCATAAACAGATGGAAATTAAAGATATGAACAGGTAACCCATGCATCAAAAAATCAATAATAGGAAATTATATCCATTCCTGCATTCATGTAAGATGAATGGAAATGAACACAAATGGCAAAACTTATGGCATAAAACTCAAGCAAAAGTGGAAATTACTGTAAAGGAATACTATGAAAAATTGAACTATGAAATCAACCAGTCCTAGAAAAACAGAAACTACAAAAACTGACTTAGGAAGAAACACACAGTCTGAACCAACAACATAACAAGCAAAGAGACTGAATTTTAACAACACACAAAAAACAACGAGCCATGAAGAAATGCTGGCGCCAATATGGTGTCATTGCTAAATTCTACCACATATTTAAATAGTATCAATTCTTCACAAACTCTTCCAAAAATAAAGCAATCACTTTTCAGCTCCCTTTGTGTGATCATAGTATCTGAATACCAAAAACAAGCACATTACCCAAAAAATGTATCTTGTGAGTACTGGTGAAAAATTCTCAATGGGAAACCAGCAAAATGAATCCAGCACCATATATTAGGTTGACTTAAGACCTGAAAATAAATTAATGTAATGTGTCATCACTATGCAATAAAAACAAAATCTCATGATCTCAGGGACTGCAGAAAATGACACAGACCCCAACACCTGCCCATGAAGGTGGACACAGGCTCATGGTGGACATGCTCTTCAGCCTGGCAGAGGAGTTCATCTGCACAAGCTGCAGGTGTAATTTAAACACAGATATAAGGAAAAGTGGATACATAGATATTACATCACATATATTATAACTAAAGAACTAATACATAAGCAAATATAACTAATTAATATATTATAACTAATACAATTAAATATAACTAAAGAATTAATACTTTGAAAGAAATAATACAATAGAATAACAGAACAGCTATTATTGTTTTGCACTGAGAGACATTCATTTTAGCTCAAAGTGAAGTGCTTAATTGATTTTCAGGGAAACATGTAATACCAGTTCTTTTACCGACTTAGAAGACTGAATGTCTGAGAACAAGTTTAATTCTCGGTATTGAGTCTGTATTTCACATTAATCCACCCCAGCTATTACTGCTTTGCATTGAGAGACACATTCATTTTAGCTCAAAATGATGTGTTTAACTGGTTTCCTGGATGAAGCTTTTATGACAGATAGCACAAGGGGGCAGAACTTGACTGTGGTGAGTACAGTAACTCTCTAGGACCTTGCTGAAGAAGGAAGCCAGTGGAACTACTCAGAGGGGAAACTGAGAAAAGAGGGCCAATTTTCAGCAGCATGTTTTTGTATCATGCTCTTCCCCAGTGAGGACATGGACCCCTGCTCCAGCAGGGTCCTCACCATCACAACCACTGCAGGGCGGTGTCACTTCTCAGGTTTCGTTCACTTGAGTTGCACCAATGTGGCTGAAACACTAGTAATTTAGAGAAGTAACCAAAGAGCAACACAGGTCTTGGTGCTTTTCAGACTGAGCTGCTCTAGAGACTGCTGTAGCCTGAGCCCTGCTGACCAATGTGACCATTCAGGACAAGGGTCACCTTCAAAGCCCCTGAACATTCCCAGAGAGTGGGTGCTCCCTGGGTCCTCTGGGAGGGGAGAGCCTGGTTCCCACCCTGTCTGGACATTCCTCTGCTCATCCTTGAGGACACTGGGTGGGTAGCCAGGACAGCCACTCTGCATTTCTATATTGGTGGGCTCATGAAAGACACTGTTTGCACTTGGAAAACGCTGGGGACTTGTCTGTGCTCATTGTGCACTAGTCCACACAAAAGAGATGATTACTAAACATGGAGACACTTATATCTATTTTTCATCCAGCTCTCATTAAAGGCTAACGAAACGTTGGGTCACTCACCTTCCTCAATCTCATTAATACCAAGTGATGTATACAACACAGGCTGACCTGAATTTAACAATGAAAGACTAGTTAGACCGCATCCATTAACATGGATGAGACAAACCCCAGGACGGCAGGACGGAGGCCAGAGCTCATTGCAGGCAGCTCTTCTACAGAGCTAATCACAGACACAATGGGACACAGCGCACAGTCACACCCTGACAAACAGCATGTGTTACATGTACTCGGGCACCCTACACCAGGTCAGGGAAGTCCCCTGCTGT